ATATGTATATATATATATGTAGCTGGTGTACTTTGTAAATATATGGTGGAACCTCATTTTTTTAACTTAATTTGTTGTTCATGAAGGTTCGTGAAGTTACTAAGGTCAGATTGTAAGACCTAAGTTGTTGTCTTTTCTAGATTTTGAAGCGGTGAGATCATTAACAGAGATAGAACTAGTAAAAAAGGCTACCTGCCCCTCTGTGGACATCCAGAATAATAAGCAGTACCTGCTGATGGGATCCCGCGGGTCACAGTACACGGTTGGCCAAAGCTACAGGTCAGTGTGTCCCCCGTCATTCCTTCAACTGTGTGCGTTCTCGTCCAATCAGACTCTGACGTGTGGAATACCTTCTGTCTATCAGGTATCGTTTCCCCATCGACTCCGAGGCTTTAGTGGAGCTCTGGCCAACAAGATGTGAGCCCGCTTGTCCGGAATATCTCAAACAGCTGGGGCTTTATACAGTGGACCTGCAAATATTAGGCTGTCCTTAATAATAACGACAATTCACTGCTGCTTTTGAGCCACCATCACAAAGAAGAACCAGATCTCTGTTAGACTGAAGGAGTGAGGAGAAGGGGCAACTCCCCTGAAATGAAATCAGAAAGATGTCTTTAAAAATCGAACCAAAACAACGTTTACATCCTATCAAAAAAAAAAAAAAGTAAGACGAGAAAAGCAAGGCATTTCCACCGGCATTGTCATTAACGTGTAATCATGTAGTGTCACTAGAGTGAAGTCATTATTTGACTTAACATCCTTGTTATGAACTTTCCTGTTATTAAAACGTTCTTGTCCAAAAAATGTACGTCTACACTTGCAAACGTTCTTCTAGGTTGACACAGTTGAGGCACAGAATCCACAAGATGGACCGGTCAGCTGGTGTCGGCCATTACTGCGGACCGGTACTTGGTAACAAATTGGTTAAACAGTAAGGATGTCCGATATTATTAGCGTAATTATGAGATATCCGCAGGAATCGTCACTGTTTTTTTGCTCCGATAAAGCAATACCTGGGTCTCGCCAAATGATGCGTGACCTCAAAATAGTTCTGTGAATAAACGGCTGTAAATGACAGTTAAAGACACCAGATGGCACCATTGCAGCTCATAACAAATAAATATAAGGCTTATACCGGTATTGGTTGATATCGGAAT